GATTTTTATCGCTGTAAAACATTCACATTGTTACCGAACGCTGAAGTTTAAACATAAATTCATTCTAGTTGTAAAATAAATATGTTTATTCTTATTTGATATATAAAACCATTACAGATAATGATTTTCGAATAGTACATTACTGACTTATAGAATGAATTACAACGGTTGTAACAACCATACATGTATTTCCGTGTCAAGGCAATTCCGTGTAAAATAATGAGAAAAAAATTAAAAAATATATTTTTGTGGAAGTTTGCATGTATACCCTCAATTAATTTTAAAAAAATTAATGCAATAATATATTTATGTGTCTTTTCATTTTTTAATGATGATTTATTCAGAAGACATCTACATGTATCTAATAAACAATTCCCCGTGATTATACTCGGACAAGGTGATACAAAGAAGCATTCATATTATTTGTTATAGATTAAAAATTTCAGAACTTGGTATTTAAGTAATACGTGTTATAGTTTTGATTAAACGGACAAATGAGAGAGAGAGAGAGAGAGAGAGAGAGAGATATTATGTTTTAGCCCCCCTTTTCACAAATGCATGTACATGTACATGTACCTGTATAAACAAAAACTCTTAATTTTTATCTAAATATCCCAGGCACTGAAAGTAACCTTTTTTTTTAATTTATCAACAAATTCACTTTGTTTGACAGTCATAATCGGTTTTTATTTTCCTGCTTCAAGTTCACACGAAGTCCACGTGCTTGTCCTGTCAATCAAAATCATTCGACACTGTGCAGGTGTGAAAGATTCGTCACACCAAAGGCGAAGTGCTACACTGTAGTATTTCCAAGAAGTTTTACATGTTTTATCATTTCTAGATCTGATTCCAATTTTTCCAGTAAATAAATAAATAAATAAAATACATTGGGCATAAACAGTTGGAATGAATTTGAAACGTACATGTACTCCCTGGCCAATTTAAAATACCAACGTCAGCGCGTGTATATTTTGAACTACTATTGTTTAATGACTTTTTTAGAGGCATGTTTGTTCTGAGACTGAAATTTTGTGCTACAAAACGCGTTTACTTCTTTTTAAATATTAATTTAAAATATACTGGAAATAACTGACTAAGTGAACGATCTACGTAGAAAAAGGGGGGGGTGTCTTAATCATATTGAATGGCAAACATACAAAGTTATTGTGAAGAGAGGAATTTTTTCTCTCTAACAGTAGAATTTATATATGAATTGTAGTATATTACATTTAAATAAATATTTTTTAACCACACTATCAATTTAATTCGCTCCACAGATATTTAATTAACTGGATATCCGCAGTACTATTTATAATTCTCAGAACTAGTTCTAATAAAGTATTTCTATAATAATTGGGAAAAAAATGCGTTAGTAATAAATACTTTCTAATTTTCCTGCAGTTGCTAAATTAATTGACATGGATTATTATCTCTCCATTAACGACTTGTCGTCTTTAATATAACAGCAAAATGTTGCAGAGCTTGAAGTACCCCTATATTGCCCGTATTTAAATTTAATTTTTCAGCATCGTTCTACATAGGTACATACTCATAACAACATTTATTTTCCAGAGTAATTTAAATAATAACTTAACAGCTAAGTTAGAATAATAATAAAGCATATTGTAGATAATTTATTCCAATAAAATACTGATCCTTTAAAAACGATATGTGAATTATTAAATTTCAAATCCCGTAAATCCTTACTTCCAAAAAAGATAAGTCCTTTCACTTTGGAGTTCCGAATGACAGTGAAGACTGAACGATAAGTGAACGCTGAACGCAAGGTGAACGTACAGTGAACGAACGAAGAGCGAACGGTGAACGCTTTGTGAACGATGAACGCGAGCGCACGGTGATCGCAGAACGCAAGACTGTGAACGGAGAGCGAACGGTGAACGCACGGTGAGCGAACGGTGAACGCATGCTGAACGAACGGTGAACGAACGGTGAGCGAACGGAAAAATGGGAAAGTAGAACGTTTCAGGGACTCTATATACGAAAAGACATACACTTATACAGAGTGAGGGACGGAAAGGGGGTAATATTATATGCCCTTGCAATTTCAAGGCAGAGGCATTAATATAAAAGTCCCGGTTAAAGTACACCGATATTGAGTAAATAAAGAGATTTGATATATGAATGATATTCACACCTTCCCAATTTCTGTAAAAAACATGAGATGGAACTGTCTCTGTTCTTGCAAGATGATGGAAAATGCTGCAAACTCGTGTACTATAGTCGAATTTGATAACTTTGCTTACACTTGGCCCCATCAGGGATAAAGTACTTTTACGAAATTACAAAATTGTACATTATAATTTTTTTAAAAGAATGAGAATTTCCATGCATACTGACACTCTTTATTATAAAGTTGCAAATAGTATAGCTGTACGAGGGATCTTCGGATATTTTTTTTTGACATATACATGTACTTTAACTCCATAAAAGAAAAAAAAAATCAATTCATGAAACTTCCAGGACATTTTACCAAAAACAAATAAAAGAAATGTGCAAAATTTCTAGCTAATAGCACTATTTGATAAGTCCTGAAGCAGTCCGTGAGATTACTGCAAGGTCATTATCTCAGTTGTTGATTTTTATTAGGTCACCTGAGTGACTCAGGTGACCTACGCTATCTGTTTTCGTCCGTCGTCGTGTGTTAACATTTGAACATTTTCAGCTTCTTCTCTGAAACCGCTGAACCCAATTTCAGTCAATTTTAGCATATGGCATCAATGTGTGAGGGGAACAAAATTTGTGAATTCATGGTCCCTGGGGCCTGAGGGGTGGGGCTCAAACCACAAAAATTAATGCAATCTTTAAAAATCTTCTTCTTTACTCCTGGACATGAAGCAGTCAAACTGTTGACATGTGAAATTCATGGCCCCAGGGTCAGGGGTTCTGGTGCTAGGGTAGGGCTATATAGATCATATAGTGAAAGTGCATTATTTCTTTGAAAATCTTCTTCTCTACTCCTGGGTATTATTTAAACAAATTAATTATTCAAAGTTATGATAAGCAAGAGTGACTCTACCAAAATTGTGAAATCCATAGCCCCATGGTCAGGGGTTCTGGTGCTAAGGCAGACTATATAGATCATATAGTGAAAGTGCATCATTTCTTTGAAAATCTTCTTCTCTACTCCTGGGTATTATTTAAACAAATTAAATACATAGTTATAATAAGCAAGAGTGACTCTACCAAAATTGTGAATTTCATGGCCCCTGGATCAGGGGTTCTGATGTTAGGGCGGGGCTCTATTTATTATATAGTGAAGATGCATTAATGCTTTAAAAATCTTCTTCTTTGCTCCTGGGTATTATTTAAACAAACTAAGTACATAGTTATAATAAGCAGGGATACCTCTTCCAAAATTGTGAAATTCATTGCCCCAGGGACAGGGGTTCTGGTGCTAGGGTGGGGCTATATAGCTCCTATAGTGATGGTGTATTATTTCTTTGAAAATCTTCTTCCGAGCCCCTGAGTACTATTTAAACAAAGTACATTGTTATGACATGCAAGGATGCCTCTTCCAAAATTGTGAATTTCATGGCCCCAGGGTCAAGGGTTCTGGTGAAAAGGTTGGGGGGGGGGGGGGCTCTATTGATTATAGAGCGAAAAAGCAAAATTCCTCTGAAAATATTCTTTTCTGCTTCTAGTTAAAAAGCATAGAAGCTAAGTATATAGTTATGATGAGCAAGAGTGCTTCTTCCAGAGTAGTGAATTGCATGACCCCTGGGTCAGATGTGTTGGTGAAAGGGTGGGACTCTTGATAATATAGTGAAAATGCATTAATTCTATTAAATAATCCTGTCTGCTCCTTAGTGTTAAGCAGATAAACAAAGTGATTACTTATTACTTATGATGAGCAAACTTCTGGTCCCAGGGTGAGAGGCTCTGGTGTTTCTCGGTGGGGAGGGTGAGGATCTCTATTGATAATATAGTGAATCTGTAGTAAAAATGCATTATTTCTTTAAAATCTTCTCTGTATTTTGGCATATCAGAGGCAAAAAGAGTAAAAGTTTAAATAAGGAAGGGTATTTTTACCAGATTTTTGAACACCTGGTCCATTTGGTCAAGTATTCTGGTCCTGGCCAGGCTCTTTTAATTTGTATTCTACTGAGAGGAGTTATTCTCCTTTGCCATTTACTTTTGATAATTAATCACAGTAAATAATGTACTTGAAAGGTTAATAGAATAAGAGAATTATGCAAGAATTTTTATTGTATAATACAAAAAGTATTTCATAGTTTTAATGATCAGGTGGACTTGTAAGTAATAGATAAATAAAAATGAGACAAAAATAACTTGTCTTATTAAATGTTCATCAAAGACCAAGAGAGGCCAATGTAAGAGATTTCAACTAGGAATTAAAATAGTACATAAGCACAGATAGTTTGTTAATATGCTGTATGGTGATAGTGATAAATGGGGAACAGATTAGAACCTAATTTATGAACTGTTAATGAATACTAGACTAATTATTTTTTTGATCCTGATCACCCTATTTTTCTTGCTTTTGGACAACAAAGCTTCACCTTTCAGTTCATTTTATACTCTATGGATCCTCTAAATTGTTGTATTATACTCAGGTGACCGTTAAGGCCCTTGGGCCTCTTGTTTTTTCTGCCATCGGAACGAAGCTTTAACTCATCTTTTTCTGCTATCACTAAATATCATTCTTGAACTTCAACTCTCTTTTCTTAAATTTTCGTTGAAAAAAATTGCGTAAATGCTACCCATATGTCAAAAATTACCATACATTAATTGTCATGTAGCAATTTTTTGTACTCACGTTAGAACGGTTGATGTTATTAAGTTCCTAAAATATTTGTTCGTTCGGCTCTTTTGCTTTCATACTGGATGAACAATTTGTCAGTAAAATTATTTTATATAGGGAAAAATTAATAGCGGTATTATACCACATTTACCTTATTTAATTGGCGAGATTAAAAAAAAATATCAACTGCACAAAATATGATTGATTTTTTTTGTAGGTCCTGGTGCCTACTACGGTCGATTTGCTGGATTTTTTCTCTACGTTTCTAATACCACGGTGAAGGACGATGGCTATCTTTGTTTTCATGAGATACAAACAGTGGACGGTACACCAACAGAGAACCAGACAATAAGCTGTCCTGTACATGGACGTTATGTTATATACTACAACGAGAGGAGACGGGGTGTGACGTATCCAAGTTATTACTCTCAATATGCGTACAATGAATTATGTGAATTGGAAGTTTATGGTACCTTTTTTTTAAAAGATATGTTATGTTATACAGAAAAAATGCACTTTAGCAGCGAATTCATCCTGACTAATAATGTTTCCTTATTTAGATCGAAAACAAATTCAATGCTAAAGGATTTTTTTTTATATAAACAGGATGCCCAGATCAAAGATATTTCGGAGAATATTGTGACCAATTATGTCCTGAGAACTGTCAGGAGCAAAGATGTGACATCACCACAGGAGAATGTCTGGGTTGTAAACCGGGGTATCAAGGTCGTATGTGTAGTCATTGTAAGTTTTGCAAAGTGAGTGTTGCATCTCACAAAACTCAAAACTGATCATTTGTTTCTTTTGAATCTTTCTTTTCACAAATTTCATATAAGTACTACGTAGGATAGATACTGATGATCGTGTCATGTTACTATTTTATTGTTAAGTGTGTGGTAAACAAATGTACGGCTTGGAGTGTTCTCTATCATGTGGTAACTGTAGTGACGGAGAAACCTGTCACCATGTCAACGGCACGTGTCTTACAGGCTGTAGTGAAGGGGCGGAGGGAGAGACATGTCAAACTGGTAAGAATGTCAAACTGGTAAGAATGTTTAACGTATAATTAATGAATAAAACTTTCAGAGCTTAGTTTGAAGTGATGGTTTTTTTTACTCAGCTTTATATTATACTTCTTCCTCGAACAACTAGCAATATGAAGTTTTCTAAATGGTCGATATATAGTGTTTTGTGTTGGTGCTAAGTGGTAATTTTAAAGTTTTGAGTACACAATTATTCGTAAAGCGGTAATGTCGTTTATGCAAAATCACGGTCGTTCCCTTTCATTCTCAAGTACATAAAAAGATACAACTTTAAAAGCAAGTTAATAAAACTGAAACAAATACTCTCATTGTAATGTAAATTTTTAGCCTTTGATAAAAAAAAATAGTATTCAGTGAAATGTCAGCTGCATTATAATAAGATTTTTTTTTGAAAATATATTTTTTGCTTGCCATATAGCTTTAAGATGTTAATGTTTAAATTATCAAAAAACATATTCTGCAGGAATAAATAATTGGTCCTATTTTGTATTGTTTAATGGACTTTTGAGCTTGAATACTGTTCGTTATCTCCGTATATTTCATTCATTAAATCGCATAATTACCGTAATAAGGAATTTGTCTATAATCGGATTTTAAAACTTATATCATCGATAAATATGTCTATCTTTCAAGCCTGCCAACCAGGTTATTACGGGAAGGACTGTATACATGAATGCAGTGTTAACTGTGGAGTAACCAGACGATGTAACAGGTATACTGGAGAGTGTGAGGGAGGATGCCAACCTGGTTGGAAAGGAAACCTTTGTGAACAAGGTACCTAATAATCATTAATCATTATTTTTCTCTTTCTTGTTAGTTCCAAAAAAGGTTTAAAACATTGAAATTCGGAGACAATCAATCTCAAAGTATGCATGTAGAATAGGAAAGGATGAGCAGATTAGTAAAGGTCATTAGACTAAAGATCTCTTTTATAGATATGGATAATACAAAGATCAAAACAGTAATGTTCTAAAAGATATTTCTTTCAGTAAACCGAATAGTGATACTTGGTAAGGTTTATTAAATTGGAGAAAGATCACATACGTGTAAATTTGTCAAAAAGCCTTATTTTAAAATACATAGTCCTTGTTTTAATTGATATGTAAAGAATGTGACGCTGGAATGCACGGTTCTAACTGCAGTCAGAGATGTGGATATTGTCTTAACAATACAAAGTGTCACCATAGTAACGGTTCATGTTTTGACGGGTGTTCTGCGGGATACCATGGATTGCTCTGTAGCAAAGGTAAGTAACACTTTCAATATTCCATAAAAACATTATCTCACGTTGTCTTTTTTTTGGGGGGGGGGGTTAAAATATATTTTATTCATTTTCCTTGAATAGGATTGAACAGCAGGCAGGAATATCTATAATCATTCTCTCCGTGTTCTTATTTATTGACCTTGTCAGCAAATACCGGTACAATGAATGCTGTCTGACATTTTTCACACTTATTGTTGGGCCATTATATACACTGAATTGTCTACGGATTTTTCCATTTGTCTGATCATGACAAGGAGATGCGAACTCCTCCATGGAAACTGATTCCACCTTTGATGCTTTTAGAGGTCCAGGTTTGCTCTATTGTTTCAATGAACTTTCACTGGTAAGGCGTTCGCTTCGTGGTCGGGAGACCCGGGATCGATTCTCATTCGCCACACCGAGACAAACTTAAGGTGTAAACATTAGTGGTGACTGTTCCTTCGCCAAGCGCCCGGCACTAGAATTAAAAGTCACTGGTCTTTCGGATGAAAACTTTAAAACCGAGGTCTCATGTCACGGTAGGCTTTGAAACGATAAAGAACTCTCACTGCTTAAAGGCCATGAGTGCCGAGTATAGGTTTAAATTTGAATCCATTCGATGGAATACAGTGACGTCTTATTATGAGTGAAAAAATCTCGAATCGGAAGTTAAACAGCATACAATTAATTAATCAACGGACTCTAAAGCTTGATTACTGTTCGTTATATCCATTTTTTTTTCAGAATTACTTGATTATAAATTATTATGGCATTACAGTTAGAACTTAATGCAAGAGTAGATATTTAACAAACTTTACATTGAAAAAATGCGTTCTCTCATGTTACTGTTTATCCTTAAATCATCAATCTAATGTAAAGTTGTGTTGGCATTTATGTGGTAAATATGAACTTTGTTAGTACACGATTATTCGTCTAGGCAGCGATGCTGTTTATGCAAATTAGTGGCCTTGCCAACCATTCTCAGATACATAAAGACTTAAAGAGATACTTTTTCAAATGCAACTTGATAAACTAGAACAAATATTCTCATTGTATTATAAATTATAAGCTTTTTCACCAAAAGCGTAATATTTAGAATAAAAATAGTATTCAGTTCAATGACAGAGGCATTTTAGTAAGATTTTATAAAGATTAAATACAGTTTAGTCCAAGCACACAGAAAATAGTTAGCTTGCCATAAATACTGTCATATTTAAAAGAAATATACTGAAACAAATGATTGGTATTAATAAAATTAAAAAAAAACTGCAGTTATAATAAACTTGTCCATGAAGTGATTTTAGAACCTATAATTATCGTCGATAAATATGTCTATATTTCAAGCCTGCCAACCAGGTTATTACGGGAAGGACTGTAGATATGAATGCAGTATAGACTGTGGAGTTCCCAATAGATGTAACAGGTTTACTGGACAGTGTGAGGGAGGATGTCAGCCTGGATGGAAAGGAAACCTTTGTGATCAAGGTACCTCATATTCATTATTCATATACTGTATTTCTTATAAGTTCCAAAAAAGATAAAGTTTAGAACATTGACATTGTGACACAATTTCAAACTCAAGGTATGCATTCAGAATAGGAAAGGATGAACGCATATAGAATAGGAAGAGATGAAAAGAATGACAAAGGTCATTAGACTAAAGATCTCTTTGATAGATATAGATAATATTAAGATCAAAACAGTATGTTGTCTTCTAGGAATTAAATTGTATAAAGTGTATTAAATCGGAGAAAAGGAAAAAAAGGAAAACTAAATATAAAGTTCACAAACATGAAAATTTGTCAATGAACCTTATTTTTATTTTAAAATACATAGTCCTTGTTTTAATTGATATGTAAAGAATGTGACGCTGGAATGCACGGTTCTAACTGCAGTCAGAGATGTGGATATTGTCTTAATAATACAAAGTGTCACCATAGTAACGGTACATGTTTTGACGGGTGTTCTGTGGGCTACCATGGATTGCTCTGTGGCAAAGGTAACACTTTCAAAATTCCATAAATAACATTGTCTCATGTTGTCTTAATTGCTTTTGATTTTTTTTTTCAAATAACTTGAATATAAAAAGATATGACATTCCAATTATAATTTTAGGACAGGAGTAAATGTTTAACAAACTTTATTTAGAAACAATGTATACTCACATGTTACTGTTTATCCTGGAAACAGCAAAAGATATTTTTGATAATTAGCACATGTTCAATTGAATTATTTTCCAAAATACATGTAGTATTTAAAAAATTTCATGTCTTTTCATATAATTTGGAAGGTATCTATTTGGATAGGCCTATAAATTCTACATGGTTTTACACATGATTCACACCCCAATTGTAACATTAATGTATAATTTTCCTTTTGTATCCGATCAACATTATGCTTAAAGTGCAACTTGTTTATCTGGTCAACATTTCTTGCTTATAGTAGAGAATGTTTATGTGGTCAACTTTTAAAGCTTGCATTAGAAATTGTTTATCTGGTCGATTTTTCATGCTTTCAGTAGAATATCTGATCATCTGGTCAACATTTCCTTTAGTTTAAGAACTATATTTTAATTATGATATACATAGAAGTACATAAATGAACATTCAATGAACAGCAGGCAAAAGTGGCTTATATAAGTTCTCTCCATTTTCTTATATTATACTTTCATGTAAATAAGTTGAATCTGATTCGTCGAGAAACATTTGTTAAAAAACACTATTACCTGCTTAATAATGAAGCCACGCCCTCCAGCGTAGCAACAGTTAACATTGCTTGACGACGGGTAACATTAAAAAAAAAATTGACTGCGCAGAATTTTTGCGCACAAGGTTCACTATAATATGTATTTGTATAAAACAGTCAGTATAATGTAATAAATATTGCATATAGTTGAGTGTAAAATTAAAAATTTTCACCCTTCGAAAACCATTGTCAACCTCGGCTCCGCCTCGGTTGACAATGATTTTTTGGGGGTGAAAATTTTCAAAGTTACACTCAACTACATGCAATATTTATATAATGGAAGATGTAAATCTGGTCAACATTTCATGATCATATTACAATGTATCCCCATTTTATTGTTTTGATAGAGTGTGTTCCTGGTTTCTACGGAAAAGACTGCAGGCGGAATTGCAGTAAAAGCTGTGGAGTGTCTAAGCGATGTGACAGAATCACTGGACATTGTGAGGGAGGATGTCAGCCAGGATGGCAAGGAATTCAATGTGATAAGGGTACGTACAAGAAAGAGGTGCTTTGCAGATACATTCTTAATAAGAAAAAAAAATGAAAAGGAATAACTCGTTATATTTCAAAATTCATTTATTTATTAAAAAAGAAAAAAAGATTTTAAAGATATGAGATACATACCTCTTGATCATATCATTCTTTTAATATTTAAAGAAAATAAACAGATCACTTTTTTATTTATATAGAGTGTGGAGTCGGACTTTACGGGGTTAATTGTAACCAAACCTGTGGCCACTGTTTAAATGACTCACAATGCCACTTTGTCAACGGCTCTTGTTTAGAAGGGTGTTCCTCTGGTTACGAAGGATCTCTTTGTATGAAAGGTTGTAGACAAACATATAACTTACAATATTAATTCTCTTTCTTTCCAAAATCGGAGACATGATCATATGAAATACCATGTTTTATATGTACAGATACCTTTGTATTTACAAAATCGATCAGTGCTTTTTAGAATTATTTTCTTTGTAGTTTGTAGACGATCATACTGGGGTGAGAATTGTAAAAGGAAATGTCACACAGACTGTGTCAACCAGATATGTCATCACGAATCAGGAGTTTGTGAAACTTATGTTAAGGTGAGCTATCAAATATGTCAAAAAATGCAGTGGAGGATATGCATTTTTTTAATTTATGTTGTTTTAAAAGGAATTGCCGAATACTCGTGATTTGAAAGAAAGAAAATGTTTTTAAAAAGATAGCACGCTAGAAAATATATGAGTTTACCGGTAACTAAATTTAATGCTACCTTGATGTTTCCGTCGACTGACCCTTATGTTTGAGTTATTGATTAATAATGCCTCATTTTATAAAATTTCGCAGTCACAGATGTGTGAAGCTTGTAGCTGTGGCAACACTACTACCATTATTAGTATTATTGTCTCTGTTTTAATCGTTATCTCCGGAAGTGTCTTAAATTACCTGATCTGGAAACGAAATCAGAGTGAGTAATCAGATTACTTCAACGTTAGAAATTTGAGAATGTCTGCTATGTTGACTTGAAAGGGTTGCAATAAAAAGATTTTTTGAAGTATGGATATTACTATGAAAATGCTAATTTTTTAAGAGCTATATAATGACTCTCTCCTTAAAATGAAATAAAACGATTTCACATTATCACATTTTACTGTATGGTTTAAAATAAGTTAGACTCTTTTTGATCTTGATTTAAAAAGATTAGAATAGAATGCATTTTACAACAAAGAAGTTGAGAATTTTTACGTCAAATAAAACAAAAAAGAAAGAACATTTTGTAAGATCATAGATATTAAAATCGCTATATTTTCTTCGATTAAATGAAGGTACGATTGAAAAGTTCTTCAAACAAAAGGATAATGTGAAGGAATTTCCAGCTGTCGATATTGCAGGTAATATTTCTAAGATTTCAAAATTTAAACCAAGAATGCCTTATTTATGTGCTGACTTAATTTCTAGTGCATATTAATGATTTGTCTGTGTTAATTAACATGCAATGAATAATGCTATTTTTAAAACATATCAGAAATAAATTGACCTTATTTTATTTTTAAAACATATCAGAAATAAACTGACCTTAAATCTACAAAGTAAACTTTTCTAACAACTCTGACTAGTAGATTCTCAAAAGTGTCAACAATTATCCCAATAAAAGCTTAGTTTGAAAGGATTTCAAAACTTAAAATCAGAAATATCAGATACGTATGTCTTTAGCTCCGTAACAAAAATCTTCTATTAAAAGTTGTGTGTTGATCAGAGGTTTGCTGTCTATGATCTTTCTCGGGTCATAGTGTATTCTACATTATCTCGTTATGTAATTATGAAAATACATACAGAATATTTTTTAAACTATCTGTATGTGTAGCTGGCGACAAAATCTTACGTTTGATTATTATGGTAACTTTAATCTCTGATTTCAAAGATAATTTTTTACCTTTATTTTTTACTTTCCAGATCAATACAGTGCGGGAGATAAGTATGCATAGTGTCTTCTCTCACTAATTAAATGTTTGCAATTTGATATGAAACATTTTGTAAAATATATTCTAAAAATGACTTATCTAATATTGTTGATCTATTAATTATAACAGAATAACTTCCCCTTATGCAGAACTCGGAGAACTCGGCAAACACAACACCTATGATGAGCTTCACATCTATGAGAAAGCTGATGAGAAAATTTGATACATTTATTAATGGAGAAAAGCTTATATGTTCACGTTTTATGCAGAAAAAAAATCATTCTCTTTATCATACTTATTTTTTTTCTTTGGTGTTGGACTCTACTTACTGTTTGAAGTTGTGTCGTATTTGATTATTGAGAAGTACATGTCTTGGATTCTCTCTGTTCAGGTGTGATATACAGTTCCCCCCGACGATTTTTCCTATCTATTTTAACTGGAATAAACGGCCACCTGTTTAATGCGGCCAGCGGCCACTCAACATCACATTATTTACACTGTAATAGGAGGCCATTTCGTTCACTGCCTCGATTCTATCGCGTCTTTTTAACACATTCGCTTGGACAATTATATGCTCATTGGTCAACTTTAACCTGTTAAAGCAATTAAACAAATTAGATAAGCTGAACTATGTTTGTGTTAATGAAAAAATTATATTCTCCTGTTAGACCATTTAGTTATTTTTTTTAATTTCAGGTAATGATTTTTCAACACCAACGATTGAAAAAGAAAAGAATTTAATTGCGATAAATAATTTTCCCATTGCTTAAGAAATCAATTCTTAAAGATATACACGCTATATAAACGCGATTTTTTATGTGAAACAAAATGATTAAATGATTTGAGAAACATGATGTGTAATAAAAAATAATTACTTTCCACAAAGTTTTACTAAATTCGTTGTAATTACAAAACAATTAGGCAAGATCTGCAATTAAGAATTCAGCCTATTCATGAATATTGATGAAGGAAGTGCGTAAACAGTATATAGACACGCATGTCCGCGGGAAATCATAGACAACGAGATACGTTGCATATTGACTACTATTTTGAATAAAAGTTAATATCTGTCATTACAGAGTAGATGGTTAATAATGGTTGTTTTTCAAAGATAAGTATCTTTAAACATAAAACGTATGCCATCCATGTCAAAAGCTATTTTGTATACCAAACGGCCTACCTCGTTTTCTTGACGCCATTTTTGTTTATCAATCTGAAAGTAGCGACGGTGTCACATGATGCATGAATATAAATATAGCATTACTTTCCTAGTAGGATAATAAATAATTATAATTTGAGATCTTTATAATGCGTTCATTTCCAGTTGTGTAATTTACAATATTTTCGTAACTTTATTTGGTAAACAAAATAAATAAATTTCCAACTTTATTTTTAACTGACGCAAGTTATAGCGTGTATATCTTTAAAGCTAAATTTTGTACTTTATGATATTCATTCATTATTTCTTAGAATGTTCACTGTGTACATATATTACCTTATACAAATCTACGATATCTTTACACCTTTAAAATGTCCATGTAGAAGCCCTAAATGGTACCCTTGTGAAAACAACGTACATTATTTGGCTTGATTATCCCGTGCATTTCACTATCAGGAGACGATTGGTAGAGATTAGTTACGCTCTATTGAACATGACACTTGTGCTCTGAAATGACTTCAAACTGCATAATACAGTACACATCTCTGGTCAACTGATCTACTTTATTTGTGTGTCTGTGTATAATAGAGAAATTCTGACAGCTTTATACAAAAATTAAAATTTATCAGACAACTTCAGCAAGTAAGTAAAAAAAAACAGGTGCATTGAGTGCGGGTGGGGTGAGATTGTTGAATACACAGCTGATCATTGCTTGAACATATGAAAGATAATTTTTAAGGGGAATTTATTGGCAAATTCTTATTGAAAAAGTCTTCTATGCTTTTTTTATCATCCTACCGTTTTTTTTTTTGGGGGGGGGGTTAAAAAATAACCAAAAAAATTATAGTGAGGCACATATATTTCTTCAAATGACTATTAATTTTAGTCTTACAACAGCACACTGATGAATGTATGTGACTTTTAACTGACATAAATAAACATAAACAAAAACATTTTTGGAATTCTCTAAGATGTTTAAGATTTTTTAAATGTACATGAATTAATAAATATACACATGAAAAGCATTTGTGAAATTGATTTTATATAATTTCTGATTATTAACTAATTTAACTGTAGTTTTACTAGTCTTTTCTGGATACTTTTATAAGCAATATGAATACAAATATTCCACTGGAAGAGGATATGTAATTAACACCCTTCTTAGAAGCGTAGCTGCTTTTTAAAAACAGTTTGACAATTTGGTGTTTACGAGTAAAGACATGAATTGCTAACGATACATGTAATAGACATAAAGACATGGAGTGCTACATGCATAAGATGATAATGAAAACATTTGCCCGAGAGATGTCGCATCCTGGGTCTGCAAAATGTTTCCTGCTGAAATGTAATTCACATAGTCTGATAGATTGAGTCGTTCTTTATAATTATGCAGTTTCTTTGATAACACAATACAGTTAAGGTGCCAAATGGAAATATCGGGGAATTTTTTTTTAGATAGCAAATATTCTTTACAAGGATGGACGCTTCTTTCTACGACTTTACTATTATCGGACAAATGTAATGTGGTTGAAAAGTTCTACATGTTGAGGACGATTAGATTTCTTATTTAGACTTGTCGCGTGATGCGGCAGTCATGTGATTTTAGCAAATTCACTTGCAGTGTTGAGGTCATCTATAAATTCCAATATTGCAAGGGCATAACCAAGTTAAAAACGACAAAAACCAAGTTAAAAACGTATCGATCCGCCTGACGTTACATTTAAATTTTGTACAATTTGAAGTCCCATAAGAAAAATTATAAAATACCTCCTGGAATCATTTTTTTTATATTTTCACGTCGTATCAGTACTTCTGTATTAAAGCATTTTGCTGTAAACGTATGGCATTTGGATGTGTATGCTATTCAGTACCTAAGGCTAAATCAAGTAAATCGCTAATTTAATTCCCCGTCCTTTGAAATGTATACTTACCCGACCTGACAGAAAATAGGCAGAAACTGCTAAAAATTTAGTAGTAAACCTGTATTTAATTACTTTTTTTTTTTTTTTAGAAATAACAGCTTAATCTTAAACCTTTAGGTCTTTCTCTAATTGACTTTTCACGTTTTATTTTTAATTAATAATTCATTTAATTATCTACATGTAAATATAAATCTTTTTTCTTATGCAATTTGTTAATTTTGAAAAGAGGATGATGGATTATAGATTTGCTTGTTTCTTAAAAATATTTCAATTGGTTGTGTTAAATTGCTCAAACTTGTGTCGAAGACGGGGTCAACTTGCCATCATAGTGTTGCGTAACTAACTTCCTATGAGTGCTCGTTTGTGTAATGCGGTATAAACACATAAACCTATAGTCTTATTTTCTCGCTATCCTACACACACGGACCACCTCAGACGATTTCATATATACACAGTGTGCGGAGTATCCGATTGAGTGTACAATAATTCTGGTTAGCAGCCAAACATTCCTGTATTTTTTTGGGGTGAATTATAAGTACCGTATAACTATAAAACCAAAATGGTTCACACACTGAACAAAGTTTCCATCTAGCCTATGAGAGATTTTTTTAAACAGAATTTGTTGTTTGCGTCATAAAACCTTTTCTGGCAATTTTTGGAAAATTTAATGTAGGAATTTATTTTTTTTTTTTTAGAATTCCTGAGGACATGAACTACGACGCTTCACGCCGGTATATTTCATGAAGCGCGTTGGTGCTTCATGATAAATATGCAGGCGTGAAGCGTTGTAGTTCATGTACCTCATGAACTATCAAAAATTAAATTCATATCTTATATTTATGTTTTCTTTTTATGACTTGCCACGTATCTCTGTCATTCAAGGATCATTTTTGAAAAAAAAAGTTTTACACTTTTTTTTAATTCAATTACCTCACAATGGAAATTTCCCTATTCATCCCATGGTAGATCATGAGAACGTGAACTTTTTCTACTTTGCAAAGAATCTTAAGGAAAAATATTTGGAAATGTAAATATAAGACAATTAATAACCATGGAAAATAAAAGATGGGTTCTTAATACATGTATATAAAGTTAAATAAATCATACAGATACATGTAATGGGGTACGAAGATCATCTATTAAACATGTAAATACGATTTTCTTTGTAAATTTTATTATTTAATTCACAGTATTTAATGTAATATCTTTCTGTGAACTAACAAAACAAGTAAAAATGTATGACAGTATGAAATCAATACCTTACCATTCAATCAGGATAGAAAATATTTTTAAAATGCTATTGATTTTTTTGACAGGTCAGTCGCTCGCACAAATTCATAAACCACAAATACATATAATTGTCTCTGTGTCAAAACTTTCACAGACCTCGATCGAAGCTCTTTTGAAAAAAGATATGATCAGAATACTCCCTCGTCCATATTTTTTTTATTAATTCATACCTAAAGGGATTCAATCATTTATTCTTATTATAGAAAAAGCAGATAAAATGTTCATAGTTCTGATTTTGCTTCCTCTAATGCTGTGCCTACAGTAGTCTATTGTACCATAAGATTATCCTATTTATTGGTTGTAGTAAACATTTTCCTCTGATGTGTCTCCTTGTGTCCGGATGTAGTTCAACAGAACATCGTAAACCATTCTGTATTCATCCTAAAATTAAAATTCAATGGAAGTGTATTCCTACCATAATTTTGAAATGAACTCAGTAGATACCACATGCTAATTAAGGAAACACTGTTCCCACGAAAGATTGAACTAAAAAAATATTATCATTTATCGAAAAAAATCAATGTTTATGATACAGAAATTACCATTGAGGAGCAGAGTTCTGGACGTCTTATCTGTAACTGACGGACAGTAGAGAAAATGTCCAACTCGCCGTCCATAGACAACTGTTGTAGTGTGTTATATACAGCACAAAATACACCACACAGGACTGCTCCGTCACTGATAATAAAAATAATATCAGTATCCATAGACAACTGTTGTAGCGTGTTATATACGGCACAAAATACACCACAAAGCACTGCTCTGTCACTGATAATAAAAACTAGATGAAATCCCGCGCAAGCGCGGGGAATTGAATTTATACCACTACCGACAGAAAATATATTGTAGTTTCTACTGACAGCCTACAGGCTTATAGCAGG